GTACCATTCTGTGGCATTCATTAATTACATCATGACTCATTCATAGAGATGGATCTACTGCGCAGCCTGCACAGCCTCAGTCCCTAAAGACTTTTTTACTCATTAGGATTCACGTTTATATATATAAAACATCTGCTTTATATATGTATAATTGGGCTCCCATCATTTTTAACTAGTGCTCTAAGGTTGGTTTAAACGTCAGTTTTTGTTGTTTTGCGTTTTTTTCACTTTTTCTCTGCATATCAGTGAATTAATAATTCTGGTCAAATTTGCAGATCATTTGGCTAGATCTAGAACAAAACAACTTTAAATGTGGTCAAATGATCTGCAAGTTTGACCAGAATTATGAACTATGGATTCTATTAATCAGATCCGAACCGATTTCCGATTGGTAATTCGAACATGGATTATAAAGCTGGCCAGAATTATGAAAATTGCACTGCGCAACCTCAAAAAATGCCTGCGCAGTGTCCCATCTTTACTAATTCATCAACCTTTATAAAAGGCTAAAGCGACAAATTAACAGTCGTCATACCAAAATTAGTGTCATGGTAATCTATCTATACGAACATACAGCTCTGAAATTTTGCCTTCGATTTAGTTGCCAGTAAAACCATACACTCAGGTTCCTGGTATATATATAAAGATAATCACTAGAAATATAATTTCTTATTAAAATAATATATTTTAAATACATTTAGCATTTCAAAATGATGCCAAATCGGTTTATTAACACCCATGTTATAATAATGTTGTTTAAAGAATGACTTAATAATGGTTATATTTATTATAAAGAAATAGTAAGTAAGAACTACCAACGGCAAAAAAAATTTAACCAAGTATACGCATATATATATAGAATGATAAACAAATAAAAAATTCTACGTACGTAGAAATACAGACCAGGGTAAAACAGCCACCCAAGAAAGTTTCGGACATCTCGTGACAAATATATCGAGCACTAAAAATCTTGCGATAATAAATAATACGTTTATTGAGTTATTCGAAAAAATAAAATGATTAATTTATTACTTATCGTTTAAATGTTAAGCTACATGACTTTTTAGTGCTCAATATATTTGTTGCGTGACGTTCGAAACTTTTTTGGGTGGCGATTTTACCCCAGTCTTAGAAATTGGCCCATTAATGTTAATGCAGGCCAGATGATATGCTAATGCAGGCCAAACAATCTCATTAAAATCCCGCACGTGGCCCATTACTAGATTAATGTTATACTAATTAAAGTTGTAACACCATAACTTCGCAATTTCAGGTAATTGGTGCGAATATTCCCAACTAATAGAAATTTTGGGGGAAATTGGTAAATGTATTTTAAGGACAGTTTTACGTGATGATCACGGGTTTCTTGTTCTTCAAGTCTCTTTAATAATGGGTGAAGAACATACAAGATGTGGCAACTATGATCACACTGACCAATTGGAAATTGGATTTTGGGGGCGCACATCATTTATTTCTTGACTAAGTTCGTTCTTGGTATAAGACAAATGGCAAGTGATGAATAGAACATATGTGACATAATAAGTCACGTGGTCCAATCGGATAATAGATTTCTCCATCGGTGTGGCACAGTAATGGACAATCGGCTATGTTGATCACCTACCTTAAATGGGTTTCCCGGCAGTATACACTGTATTCGTTGTATACTTAATGTCGGGTGGTAATTGATATCAGTGGGATAAGGGAATCAGTGGGATCAAGGGTATAATTAATATAATCTGTATAAACGTTATAATCAGTATAATAAGCATAGACGTTATAATTAATATATATGAGATAACGAACATAAGTAGTATAAGCGGTATATCACGAATAAAGTGTATAACGTGTCCTATGTAAATGAAAGTATATAATAAAGGCTTCGAGCCCTCCAAGAACAGTTCAGTTAGTTCTCATCATAAATTCGCTCCCAATAATTTCCCTGTTTAATCATATTATAAAACCTACGATCATAAACACACCACTCGCCAAATCTAACCGCCTCTTATCGACTAAGCCGTTCGTAGGTTACACGACGTATCCGTTTGAGAAGCGACTGACTCGCCGTTTCGCTCGTGTCACCATACATGTCGTGATTTCATCATTCTGTTACTGGTATGCAGGCATAACTATCTCTGTAATATGTAAAAATTATAATAAGTTACTGCATTGTTGCCATACCTTTACGACAAGTTGCGCAATTCGCCTGCATCACTAGGGTAATGAATTAACTTGTGACACCACATATATCTTTTGTTAGCAACAACTATAAATTCTACGTATTCGCATTTTCTTAGTTTATTTATATATTAACCGTGTAAAGTAGCACCTATTCGTCATAAGGTAATTGTGTGTTCCTAATTGTGTGTTTCTAATTGTGTGTTCTTAATTGTTAGAAACCTTTCGTATAATCGTTGACTTTGTGCATTTGCCGACTCATTATTTATTTTCCTTATTTGGGGATCACTAAAGTGGGGTTAAATTTGATGCATTTTAGGTTGCCTTTTTAATACATCAATATATGAAAGCTTTTTGAACAGAATGTAATTTCTGACAATATTTGTATGCAATATCTGGAGTATCCATAAATGTGATGCAACCATCCTAAACTTTAGATATCTGAAATCTCATCTAACTGAAATTAAGCCACTAAAATTAGCATCATGCGTTGATTTTGATCAGGTGTTTACTTTAGATACGGTATCTAAAGTTCATATCGTCTGGAATGATAATTATTTAGTACTTTTCAAAATCCTTGCTTATCTAAAGAAGTTGGCATAGCAATAATTTCTTAAAAATATATTAAGCCAAGTTATGCTACTATATAATTTTTCTAAATTAGAATAGGTTTTTAATTATTATTATTATTACGCATTATTATTGTGAAGACCTATAATCTAACAAATTCTTTTCTCTGATTCTTTTTGAAAGACTACTTTAACTATATGTTACAAATTATCAGTTAATTATATGGAATTATATTTAGATAGGTATCTATTCAAAACATAACACATACGCTAGTGAAAAAAATCACATGTGCTTATCATTTATATGCTAAATGTTTAGAGTTATCACTTTGAATAGCAATTACATATTGAGTGCATTTATTATTATTGAATTTTAGGCTTTTAATGTAAATACGATTAGATATTATAAAGATTTATCATTAAATAAAGGGTTTATTTTTTTATATTCCTATTATTTAATGATATGCTCAATGTACTAGTAACCAAATTGATATTAACATAATTCAATTGCGGTAAAATTTATTTTATTTTAAAAATATCTCAAAATAAGCAGCAAAGAAGGAAGTCTATAAATTGATTAACCAACGACCATTATTCAGACTCAAAATTCCGCAATGATTGCATGTGTTCAAATACGTGTCCACCTAATTGTTCAAGTCGCTTCGATAACACATATTGTTTGGTCACAAAACGGATTTATTAATCTGATAATGATAAAATATAAAGTGCCGTTTCCGTCACTCAAATATTAAATATGGTAGAAACTCGTAGATTTTTTTAAAAAAATACTCTATATCTAGTAATAACAATAATTGATAGGCTTGAAATTAAAGACTTCATTTAATACCATGAAAATATATTTATTAATCATTTCTTAGCTCTTTTTATCATTTTTAGATTTATTTTTTTGCCAGACCTTGTCTTTCTCCCTGTTTTAAGCCTCGTCATTCATTAGTATGCAAATAATGGTTCACATAACAACTACAAAACATCCCTTACATCTTTGTACGTACAATCAAAGACTTAAGCTGTGTAAATATTTTGTTAGCTACACATTCACATTCGCGAAATGTTTATTGCACACGTGCCCGAAATTGGAAATAATAGTATCTGATCCATAAAATTCTAAAAGGAGCATAGTGTTGATTTTTTTAATTGCAAAGTTTAAAGATTTTCCTGATGATGTAACAATTAGAATCAAATACATATAAAGATAAATTGTACGTAATTTAATAATAATAAAAACTAAATAAGCCACATGCATAATGTAAAACTAATCTAACTAATAATGAATAATAGAATAAAATGGAAGATGAAATATTGTGAAAAGTGACATTGGAATAGTACCATTGTAGTTTTCCCTAAAAGCATAACACACAATTTACATATGTCAATGCCGAAATTTTCATTGAGATCAAACCTGCAGTAATCCTAAGACTTGATAACCTAATCAAAAAATATATCACATGATTTCTTTCTTTTTCTGAGATTTAGAATGCAAATTTTGTCTAAAAAACAAGAATAGTTATTAGTCAAGAATAAATATTGCAGATAATAAAAAGGCAAATTTTAGTCTCCAAAGTGCAATTACTAAATAAAGGATCAATCACAGAAGATAAAATTCAAAAAATTCAAAAAAAATAAAGACAACCAGCAAAAAACATTACCTAAAAAAAAAAATCTATGTATTAAACTTTTGCAAGGGCCAATAGAAGTATCTAAGAACATTCTCTAAATATTTACATTTAGTAAAAAAATTCTATATTCGTGAGTTAAATTAAATAAAAAACTTGCCTAAATATTTATTGATTTATTTTATCTGTAAAGTTGAACATTCCTAAATGTACCTTTTCCAAGTGTATCTCAAGCTTGGAACTTATTGTTAAGTGTACGCCTCTGCCTTCTACGTACGCCTGCATAAGATTTTGTGGTCCGGACTTATACGTGCAACTTCCATAGGTGTACACACATGATTAATTTAAACATTTAACCAATTAAATCATAAAAACAGTATGTAATAGTGATAGTAGACACCAATTTAGAGTTCCAATCCGGATAAATCCGTCATCCATTTATTCATATCCAAATTTATCTGGATATCCATTTACTATTAATATCCGGATAATCCAACAGATATCCGGATAATTATCCGGATATCAATAGTAACCAGATATCCAAATATATTCGGATATTGGATATCCGATGGATAAATGGATAAACGGATAATGGATTGGAACTCTACACCAATTTTCATAAATGTACATCCCTTTTAATTGCACACTTAGGGAGGTTTGAACATATTATCTGCATGTAAAGGTTCTGAAAAGAATCCAAAAACCATAAAATCGTATACTGCATATCATAGTGTTACATCAAATTCAAATGAAAATAAATGAAATAAATGAAAATCAGAAAGTGTAACTTTATCCTCAATTATTGGTGGTACCGGTGTTTTTTTTTTAACAACATATTGCATTTAGGTTACTAAAATAGGAAATTTCGATAACGAACTTTTGTTTACTGTTTCGGATGTTGTTACTCCGTTAGTGGAATGTAATTTTTCTACGTAGTAAATGATAATTCATTTCGGGATATACTTTTTGTTATATTTTTAGATCCAAATGAGCTTCACAAAAAAAAAAAGGCATACAAGAACTAGGTTGCAAGCAAATTTAAAATTTGCTGAAAGTTACACAATATTAAATCTCTTTACCGACAAAATAGCATTGTGCCACATGAAAATAATGAAATTAGATAAATCGTACTGTTGTGTTTTTTTCTCTATTCTTATCCATAAACTAAGTATGGCTAATTTCAACTTCATATTCATTATTTTTACAATTCTCTATTGCGCCGCGGATGTATCCTCCACCTCTTACAGTACGAACTATCATTCTTTAATATTTTTTGAATTTATAGAATACTACCAATATTACATTATAATTTCTGACTATCCAGTAATTCGATTTTGATAACCTTTAATAAAATATTATCCGAATCGCATTGCTGGAAAAGAAATTTTTTGGTAGAGTCTGTATCTAAATTTCTTATTAGTATTTATGTCAGAAAGTCAAATAACTAATAATATTCACTTATTTAAATATAGCTGTGACGTTAAATACGCCTCAAAATGTTCAACCAAATTCAACTATCGTGATCAGTTGGTCTTTTAGTGGTGTTCAAACCACAAATGTTGCGTTAGGGATTCAAAATTCACAAACGGCTGCTATTACGTACATAGATACTAATGCCGACCTCACAAAGAAAAGCGAAACTTGGATCGTTTCTGTCGGGGCAGGAAGCTATAAACTATTTTTTATGGATGAAACTTCTAATTCTTATGTTTATTCAAATACATTTGTTGTTTCAAATACTGGTGGTAGTCCTAGCCCGCCCACTAATAATGCTTCGCCCGCTGCTACAACTTCAGGTAATAATTATAGTTTTTATATAATCGCAGATCAAGCGACCAATTAGCTTAATTATACAATATTCAATTAATTTATATCATCTATATTTTATGATATAGAAAGCAAAGCGGATGATCTTAAAAATAAATTTTTTATCGCTGCACCCTTTATACTTTTAGTAATAATTGGTGTAGGCATAGGTTATTATTTAAAAAAGAGACATGACAGAAATAAACAAAATAATCCAACTCCTTATGGTTATAACAACAACAACAACAACAACAACAACAATAATAATAATAATAATAATACCTATATCTATCCTATTAATGTCCCTCCTCGTTAATGTAAACCTCTCAGAATTAAATATTTGATTGACATATACAAAAGGAGGAACTGACATTAAAGATTTATTAATATAGAAAATTTCATTTGTAAAAAAAAAATATTGTTAACCACGAGATATAGATATTAACAAAGTCAATAGTAGCGGTGGTAGACTATATTACCACTACTTTTGTATATTGTGTTGTGATTAACAAAAGAGATACAATATTTATGAATTTTATTCATTCAAAGAATTGGTTGTAAGAAATTTTGATTTTAAAGAATGTTGAACACTAATAATGAATGCATCACACAACAAATATATTTTATGATAATATTGTTATATTTATTTCTTAATATTATTAACCGTTAATAAATTAGTTGCTAAATGTTTATGTGATGATGTATGCTCTTTTTTGACTTTATCATTACTACATAAGACTTATTTATAATATACTAAATATTTCCGATAACTCTCGTGTTTTTTTTTTTGCTTCTTTCCTTAATTGGCCAAATTTTTACATTAATCATGTGTGTAAACTTCGAAAAAATGCACGTATAATAGGAGTGTAAAGCGATTCTAAAAGCTATAATCGAATTCCTTAAAACAATTTAGAATCGAGAATCGAATCTTAAATATGTTGACAGACCGAACGAGGGGTCTTACGGGATAGCCTAATCTAATACACAAAGTCAGCAAACAAGACAACCTATTGAGAGACGTGTTGCATTTGGCGAGTGGATAGTTCAAGGCTTCGGTTGTCGATACTTCAGGGTAACTTATTGTCACAAATAATAACCACAGTATCCTCAGTACGTTGGGACACTGGATTCAATAACCACGGCAGTTCTCAGTAAGTCGAGAAACAACCAGACAGCGTAACATTATGTCACATGCTCAAGAGATAATAATGGATGATAAGCCATTTAGTGTAGATCGCTTGGTTTATTTAGTGAATGTGTGGGGGTAACGAAGTAATTATGAACCATGAACTCCCCTTTACTCTAGGGCGAAACGCCTTTATTATACATTATACATCTTATGCGTGATATATAAATTATAATGGTTATATTGCTTATAATGATTATAATGTTCATACTATTATACGCATGATCCCACTGATTTCTCTTATCTCACTAATATTCATTAAAGACCTGGGTTTACTAATTTTCTCCCGAGTTCCTATTGGCTGGAATTATTCACACCAAATTACATACCATTTATCCTTAAAAATTAAATAGATAATATTATAGCAAAAACTTAAAAGTAAAATTTTTTTTGTTAGCACGCAAAAGGTGAAATTTTGAGATAAACAAGTTTTCAATTATTTTTTTAATTTTTGTGATACACCTGATCTTGTTCTTTGATTCGCTGTAGATGTATCAAGTCATTAAAGGTCGTCGATTTTATCCAATTAGAATTCCGATTTACATCCGACCAATAGTAATTTGAAACCTGATACAAAGTATACAGCGAATACGTACACTGTATACAGTCAGGAAACGTATATTAGATCACGTGCCGTCAATTGCGTTATGACTCACAATGCATACAATTTCTTGATGGGTGGTCTGACAAATGTGATCCAATAGATTTATAAATGTTATTGTCAGGTCAGAAACTTGTTTATCGTTTACTGCCATCTATAATGCAGTAATGGCGTGATTGAACAGTGTGATCATAAATACAGATCTTCTTATGTTACATTATATATATTTGGCTAAGTCAAGTAAAAACTTGTTATTTTGATTTAAAAATTTTAAAATTATCGTTATCATTATCAATATATCTTGGTTGATTTATGACCGTTTTGCGTATCGATTTTAGGCAAAAAATTGTTCACCCCTTGTAATTTGAGCAATCAAAATTAGGACACACATCCGAAATCTATTGTGAGATGTAACTACCCCAAGAGCACCCCGAAAAAGTTGCGTAATCATGTGATTTTATTATACGTAGTGATTAAATCTTGATGATTAAGTCATTATAATTATATTAATAATATTAATAATCGTAATTTTATTATTATGAAAGTATTTTTATCTTCTCTTACAATATGGATACCATTAATAAAAGCTTATCTAAATGTTCAAGATGCCGAAAACATCTATCTTCAAATAACTTCATTAAAGATAATAAAACTTGCAATAAATGTCATCATAGTTCTTTACAATACAAATGTTCTAATCAATCAAGTAACAAAACTGAACCCTATAAAACTGAACCCTGTGAAACTGGACCTTTAACACAAAAAGAAATATCAAAACAATTATATGAGAAAATTTTAACATTAAATACAAATGAATATTTAGAAAATGATTTGTTAGGTATAGATTTTAAATGTGAATTCTTAATTGATACAATGGATGATGATTCAAAAATATTATCCAAGACAATTGCTGAATTAATAGGTGAAAGTGATGAATATTATTATATATTCAAAAATTCTTATAATTCAAAAAAAAATCTGATGTCTTAATCTTCTGATATAATTGTTCTCAACATCAAACTCTTGTAAAAAGACTTAGAAAGCATGAATCTATTGAAAAGCAAAGAGATCGAATACCAATTGAGCGATTTAATTGTAATGGATTAATTAAAATTATTATTAATATGGAACTAAAAATTGCATCAATCCATCTTCAGCATTCTATAATTCATAAACAATCTGAGCAATTTGGTGTAAATGAAAATATTAAAGAGGAAATTCAAAAAAATATACATTTTGTTCCAAGTGATATTTATCAAATTTTAGAATATGATAATCCTAATTTAACACAAAAACAAGTACATGCTTGATTGTCAATATTAATTAAACAGAAATATATCAAAAATTGTACAGATTAATTAACTTCAGCAGAAATTCTCTTAAATGAATATGGATATCAAATGTTATTATGTAATTCTAAAGATGGAATTAAATTTTTTAGTTTTATAACATCATTTTAAGATAATTAAAAGTTAGGAGATTATGTTTGATGCAACCTATAAGACAAATATTTTTGAATATGAATTTTATATTATTATTAGATAGTATTGTGATAACAGATTTTTAGATAAGATTTAGATAGAAATAATAAATAAATAATAAAGTAACTACAATAACAAAATATAGACTACTTACCTGACACTAATAAAAGTACAAGTATTGTTTTGTAAGACCCCAGTAATCATCATTAAACAGCACCTGTCTGGCTTAAAAATAAGCTAAACCTACTATAGATCATGTACTGCAAGTTATGTGACTATAAAAGCCATTACTGTAATAAAAGAGTTCCAATCCCAAATTGATATAGTGTAATTCCAAGTTGAGGCATATAAGAGAAGACATAGAAGAAAGAAATTAGTAAAGACAAATAGGTTAAAGAAAAAACTCAAGAGAAAAAGAGAATAGTACTTACTTACAAATGATAAAGCACTCATTTAATCATTACATGAGGCTGATCTTTGATTAGTAACAGACTTGCTAATATAGGAGCTCTCATGATATTCATGACTATTGTGAAATCAGAAATTGTGATACCAAATACCGTGACTGATCATATGAAAAATACATGAAATGCAATAAGTGCAATAAGTTACATTTAGGATCAGAAAAGGTATTTTGGATCCAGAAAAGTAAATAAGGAATAAGGAGAGGATATGAGAATAAATTACATATCTTTACGGATATTGTTACAATCCAAAATAGGATCGTCAATAATATGTACAAGATCAGGCATACATGCAGTATATTTAGTAAATATAACATATGTAATAGATATAGCGTATATAGAGTATACAGCATATATAGCGTATATAGCATATATAGCGTATATAGCGTATATAACGTATATAGCGTATATGGCATATAAAGTGTAATTAGCATAAATAATGTAATTAGCATAATTAGTGTATTTAGCATAAGTAGCGCATTTAGCAGATAAGGAAAAAGTATATAAGTAATGCATTTAGAATAGAACATAGAATAGACAGGACGTAATAAAGAAATACTTACCAGATACACTCGCCAAATCCAACACCTCTTTCGAGTGTAGTAATGTCCTACGTTATGCTAACGATGTATTGGCTACCCTATGAATAGGGAATTCTAGGGTAGTTCCGACTAGTATTGTTACAATATTAAATAAATCACTGTAAATATTTAATTAGTTTTAAGGAATAATAAGTGTAAAGTCACATTTGTGAGCAATGAATTTAGAGTTATAAATAAAGGCCAAAATAGCCCTTGAGAGCAGTACACTTGGTACACTTCATTTGCTTTATTAAATAATAACTCTCAATACTCTATATAGTATTTAATAAACACTAATACTATTACTGTTATAAAACTCTATAAACTTTTGTAAACAATGCTGTTCAAATCTGTGATCATGTAACTGACTCTACTTGCATTTGTTGACCCAAAGTAACTGAAAGTCTTTTTTGTCTACAAGCCAAATCTAACACACTCTTTTTAAAAGATTATTTGGCATATATTACATAAGGTTTGAATTTTGAAGCAACTGAGTTGCAATCTTCCAAATCCAACAGTATGATGATGCAGCTTTTGCAATAGCCTATTTATTTATAGAAAGAAAAAATAAAGATGATAGTGCACTTACTAAAATCTTAACTTTATTTTTTAAAGCATTGTATAATTTAGGATTGAAAAATATTGAGTTTTTCTTAACAGACAAAGATTTTTTTCAAATCTCAACTGCACAACAAATTTGGTCATATGCTAAAGTATAATTATGTCTTTGACATATTAAAAAAATATTAAAAAAACATCTTTCTGACAATACACAACCCAAAACAATAAGTTATAGTTCAAATTCAGTACATGAAATATTTAATTTTATTAATATAAATTTTTATCCAACATTACTACCAAAAACAAATAATAAAAAAACTAAAAATAGTTTTATTTTTTGTCTTTTGACTCTATGATCTAAAATTATTGAGATTTTAGAAACTTATATACATTAATATATATTAATTTCAAATCCAAATAGTTATTATTTATTACCTGAAGAAATTTGACAAGAATCAGTACAAAAAATTTATAAATTCTGTATTGATAACAATTTATCAAATATGTGGACTTACTTGTGATCTAGTTAGTATAAGAAAGAAATCTGGATTTTATGAACATAATTAGTAGCAGAAAAAATTTGTATATTTCATACAATTATATTTTTAGAATCTCATTGAAAAGTGTTAAAATGAAATTACTTATCCAAATTTTTTTGATCAAGACTTAATTTAATAGTTTATATTCTTCTTACTTATTTGATTCCATATTATTAATAACAATACAATAAGTATTTTAATAATCATATAAGATCTTATGAAAAAAGGACTTTAAAAAAGAATGGAATAGTTTACAAAAACAGAATATTAACAATAAAATTTTTTTGATACTAAAAACTGAATATGTTCTTATTTGGAGTTTTTAAAAAACTAATTTTTTCTTTGCAAACACTTAATTAATTATTCACAATTTATTAATATTAATGATTCTTTTTTTTCAAAATTCAATGACAAAGCACATATTTATTTATATTTTTAGCAACACCAATATTAATAAATATTAATGTTAACACTAAAGAATCTAATTTAAATAAAGGTAAAGATATAATATATATTTATTATATATATACATGTTTATATATATACTGATATAAAAAATTTAATTATAGAAACTACATTGGTACTGATATTAAATAATTTAACGAATACTGAACCATTTCAATCTTTAAATTCAACAGATGATAATAATAACCAAACAATACAATTATTCGAGCATTATAAATTAATTTTAAATGATGCATTAAATATCATAAAAGAACAAGAAAATATTGGCAACAAGCAATGAGCACAAGCAGTTCAAACAAGTTTTGAAGATATAAAAAATTTAGTAAATAATATTAGTGAGTATCAAAGACAGATTACAAATCCATGTATCTGAAAGGATCACAATAGACATACAATGTTTTTAGGATAATGATAAAGTTCATTTTTAACAATAAGCTTGTAATAATTTTTTAATATTATAAATATTTTATCACTTTATAGTTCTCAAAATATATATGTATTAAATAAATGTCTTTAATTCAAACTGTTATTCAAAATTCGCACATATGCAGTATCGGAGCTAAAAATGATTAATCACATGATTTACACAACTTTTTTAGGGTGTTCTTGGGGTAGTTATCTCTAACCGCAAGTCATGTGACCAAGCTGTTAACACAAGAGAAGAATCCAACTCCGATTTGATGTATCATAAGCCCAAGTTAAGTCATACAAGAGCAGAGAAGAGAAAGCAAGGGTGATAGAAGAATAGGTTGAAGGAAAGACTTAGAAGAGAAGATTAGTACTTACCTACAGATAAACCACCAGCCAAATCTAACATGCCTATTTCGACTTAGCTGCTGTAGGTTACATATAAGTTGGATTAAGTAGTGACAGACTTGCTGATTTGTGAATCATACTATGCAGACAAAAAAATCTGAATCTTTATTATCAGAAAAACTAGCTGCTTATCTCTATCAACGAAATTCTACCATAAAGGCTGAATCACTATGAAGTAAAGTACAAATTCAAGTACAACAAATGAAGAAAGTGTAAAATGTTAATCAGACTATAATGAAAAACATAAAAATACTCTCAAAAAAAAGCAATGTATAACTTATGGGAAAAAACATTAACACGAGAAAATAAAATTGAAGGTTTTTAAACATCATGTGTCATAATATTTGTGCGAAATACATAATCAATGAAAAAGAAATATGTAAAATTAATGTGCTAAATAAAATTTCTGGATATTCATGCCGGACTATCACATGATCACTGGAGAAGAAACCTGGTACACATTTTCGAGTTGCATAATATTTGCGCAAATTAACTATGTGCTAAATAAAATTTCTGGATATTCATTCCAGACTATTACATGATCACCAAAGCAGCAACTTGGTACTAGTACACATTTTTGGGTTGCATAATATTTGTGTAAAGTACATAACCAATGAAAAAGAAATATATAAAATTAACTATGTGCTAAATAACATTTCCGGATATTTATTCCTGACTATCACATGATCACCAGAGCAGCAACCTGGTTAGGGTATCTGGCATACTCAAAAAAATTGGCATGCCATGTGGCATGCCATTTATTCAAATCTGTGCCATGGCATGCCAGTGGCATGCCATTTGTATAATATTAGATAGTAATATTAAATAATAACCTTTTCAATTGTTAATATCATGTATTATTTATTATTATATACTTATTTTATTAATGTGAAGTGAAATATTTTAATAAAAAAATTCTAATAGTCTAATATGCAGATATTATATGTATAAATAGTTTTTTATACAATATAAAAAAGTCTTTGAAGCATACATTTTATAAAATTATTCATTTTGCTAATTTTATATTAATAGTATATTAAGGATATAGGTCCTATAGCTTAATAGTTAAGCTCTCATACCCTTACAGTCAAGGTTAACAGTTCAAGTTCAGCTAGAAGTAAAATTGAAAGATTTTAGCTTCTGTAATTTATAAGAAGCCTATAATTGAACACAAAGCCTTGTGGTCAAGTCCAAGTGCAATATATAACAGAAAAAGAAATTTTTGGAAGAAAACTGACTCTGCAGAGTGTAGACACTATGTGTGACAGCAATATCACAAAAGGTTCTGTTACACAAAGGTTTGCACATGTAAGTCCTCTGAAGACAGTGCAGTACCAACATCTTCACATCCAACTTGTAGAGTACTTGATTGAGAGGGTGATACTAAGATAACATGAACTGGA